TAATTAAATTTATTACTTATCAAATTTGGCTTTAAAACTTTCACTGAGCTGTTTGGAATTTCCAACATTTTGGCCAGGGAAATTGTGTCTGTTCATAGTTTAAAAATTCCAGTATAATTATAATACAGTTACAATACATATGTATATAAAATTTGAATACATTAGAATTTTGAAATTTTTTCTATGGGAGAAAGGTTAAGTAGCCTCTTAGGCTTGCATTCAACCACAGTACTAAATTTCACTGAAAAATGCTATAATTTCATGGCTTCTCATAATAAAAAATTAGCTTTGCCTCATAGTTGCTGACAATGCTGACATTCAGCACGGTTTGGCCCCGAGTCTGGGACTCACCAAGCCTGGTGATTCCGGAACCCCTGGGCCCCTGGGGTGAGCTCCAACTTCAGGGCACAGAAAGACTGCAGGGGAGTCCCAGGACAGCCTCGGCTGCCTTTTGAGGAAGGAAGGAGTGCGCCTGCAGGGAGGGAACTTAAGGGTATGTACGCTCTCTAAGCCATACTGAGTCTCACGTTGGAGTCTGTGCACAGTTTGCAGCTGGGTTCCAATTGAAACTCAGTTTAATTGCCACTGTTAAGGACACTGTCCCTAACTCTCCAGTCAGACTTAATGCCACCAACCCTGACGGCTTCCCACGCCATCGGCTGGGCGATGTCTGTCTTCCCACATGACCTGGTGGTGGCGGCTCCAGGGCTGCAGAACATCGATGTTTACAAAGGCCTTTGCTTCCATCCCCTCATTTGATTCTGTGACAGAGATGTGCAGAGAAGACTCAGGCAGGGCTGGCAGGGTGTGACTCAGGGCTTTGCCTCAGAGATGGCGACCGGATGGAGGCTTTGCTGCATCTCTCAGGAGACTCCACAGAGAGCTGTCTCAAGACTCAGCGACTTGGCTTGCTCGGATCGCCATCCTGAGACAACCAGCCACACGCCACAAAGCCGAGGAAGGCAGGGGAGAGAGGAGAGCTTCCCCTGTGACCAGGGGGTATCTGGGGCTGCCCAGCGCACAGTGACCTCTGTCTCTGGGACTCAGGGAGACCTCAGGCCAAGGGGCACTGTGAAGCTTGTGGCTCCACCTGGGCCAAAGGTGCAGCCCACGGGCTGGAGACCTCGGAGCCAGTGAGGCCTGGGGGTTGGGATTCCGGTGGAGCTCACCATGGAGAATGATCTTTAAAAATCACTTTGAAATCATAATTCTTACTTTCACTGACAAATAATTGTATATATCAATGGGGCACAGCATGATGCCGTGACACCTGCATATTCTTACTGCATAATGACCCAGTTAAGGTTTTACCATATCTGTCACCTCGGCTCATTGCTTTGAGAACGTTCCAAACCCCCTCTTAATTATTTCGAAGCGTATAGCACAGCGCTGCTGACAGCAGTCACCCTGCGGTGCCCAGCATAACTCACCGGGGTGAGGTCCCCAGCAACAGCCTCCTCCGCCTGCCCTCCAGCCTTGGGTAACCACTGCTCCCCATGGCAGGGAATTATCCATCTTGAAGGAGTGCGGTTAACTTGGAGGAAGAGCCAGTACAGCAAGGGCCCTGTGCTGCAGTTTGCTGCCTGCTGCTTCCAGTGCATTTTTGGGTGAGACTTAATGATGGCTTTTCACTTTCTAATAATGGATTTGACTGAAAGCCAACAGATTAAAAACACAGTAATGGCAATCCCGAGAGGATTATTTACTCAGAGTACCCAACACTCCGCTGTGAGGCTTCACCTATTCAGTCAATTGATGTTTATTGAGAACCTATTATGTGCAAGACACCGCCAGGGACACAGAGGAGAAAAAGATGGACCGAGGCTGCTCTGGTGACCTGTACACTGTGAAGGATAAATCAGTGACAGTAGAGGGAGATGTGAATGAAGGAGAGCAGGGTTGCAAGTCATAAGACAACAGAGGGGCTTCAGCTCTTCAGGTCAGGCAAGCCCGCAGTGCTGAGGATTACTTGATTTTGGGGTAAAAGTGACAGGTACCTCTCTTTGTTAACAGTGATGACCCTCTGCTGAGACGGAGTGCCCTGTGTGCATTCAGCAGCAGCCCCCTGTGCCTCTTCTGGCATAAGTTGCATGGCAAGGGTTTGGGAGAAGAAAAATGGGAATTTTCAGATCTCTCTGATGACTTATTTTTAACTGTTATGCTTTTAACTAAACACAAGTCCAGGACAAAGACCTTAAAATGCAAGCGCAGCCATTTGTGGTAAAAGAGGTTACCGAGCAGAGAAGACAGAAGTCCCACCCGGAAGTCGGGTCTGGTGGAGGAAAGGATTCCAGCTGCACAGACGTGTTCTTGCTGCAGAGGGGCAGAGCCCACACATCCCACTTATTTTTAAGAAGGTTAATCCGTAAGAAGCTGGGACACAGTAGATGCTCAAGTGTGACAGCGATTTTTTTCTACTACGTCAGAGTGTCGCACACAGTGCGTGACCCATGGGCGTGCCCACCGCAGGCTCCCTTTCTCTGTCTGCATTCTGCTTCCCCAGACTCCTCATCCCTAAGATAAACAAGAGCTGATGGTTTGTGCATTTTTGCTTAATGGGATTTCACAGGACTTGTTTCATCTGCGCATGACCAGCTTCGGAGCTTCGACACCAACCCAGTTTTGCACTAAGTAAGAAAGGAAGCGAAGTGGGAGGCACAAGAGCAGTGCTGTGAGCGACGAAGAAGGGAGCCCGAGGTTGTCTGGTGTCTCACACTGACTGCACTTTCCCAAGCAGGAGGAGCTGCGAGACAAACTCATGGGCACAGGGTGCTCCCGGAGACGGCGGCAGAGCCGATGATCGGAGTCCTGCAGCCTTCTGCTGCACCAGGCGATGGCTCCTTCAGAGGCCTGACCCGCTCGGCCAGGGGCCCGGGACAGAGGAGGAGGCCCAGTCCTGCTCTCTGGGCAGGAGCAGCGCAGGCCCGGCCGCCGGGCACAGGGCGTGCATCTCCAGCACTCACTCAGGAGTCACCCAAATGTAGACGAGCGGAGCCTGCCGTGACGCCCCTCGAATTTCTGGAGTGGTTTACTCAAGTGAAGCACTAAAAGCCTCCTGCTCAATTCACTGGGCCCTGGGGAGCAGCTAGGTGGCCAGGATGCGTGTGGGAAAGGGGGTCGGGTCTGCTGGAAACCCCAAAAAGGACCATCTGGCAGCATAAATTATACACTGCGAACGGCTGGTGTGAGTCAGTGACCCCCATCACCAGGAACATGTCCGGGGTCCTTCGGGGGAGCTTTACTGTCCCCGAGGCCCTGTTTCCATGAAGACTCCATGCTGATGGCCAAATGTGAACGCGTCCACACCCCGCGGCCCAGGGAACGAATGTGGACAGTGGACCAGCAGTCCACATATAACTATTGCGGGGTTTCTCTAAAACATGCAGCCACTTCAGGAGGGTTCAGCCATTAAACTTCGGGGACTGGCGCTCAGATGTTAAAATGGACAATCACTCGTATGGCAATCACAGAGCAGCAGGAGCAGCTCTGGGCAGAGCCACTGGACCCAGCCCACTCCCGCCCTGCCACAGCATCCAGAGCCTGGGCAAGGCCTGCAGCCTTGGGAGGAGCTTCCTGCCCCTGCCCCACACCGCCAGCTGCGCTAGCACGGTACTCAGGCAGAGCGCACCAAACCTGCACTGCCGAGGGGGACCTGCCGAGGGGGACTTGCCGAGGACTACTCAGGCCTCTGGAAAGGGTCTGAGAGCTTCTCATCTTTCTACGTTCTTTTCGCTGGTGTGGATGGTGGCCATGGTGAGCGGCCAGCACTTCCGTGCTGCTGTTCTCCGCCGTGCTGGGCAGAGCGTCCACAGCGCCTGCATGCGAGTGTGGAGTGGAGCGGGAGTGACAGCAGAGCCACCACGTGCGGGGGCTGCACTGGGTCCTGCTCAGTGACCGCTGACTGTCTCCTCCCCGGCCTGAGTTTGTCCTGGGCAGGGCTGAGCCGAGGCCCTGGAGCCAGACATGGAGCCTGGCATCGAAGGCCCTGACAGCCCCTGTGGAGACCTCGGAAGGACAGGTCAGGCCAAGAGCCCAGGGGAAGTTCTGAACCGTAAAAGGCCTGGCTTGGACGGGCCGAGCTTGGCCTTTATTTGCTTTGTTTTGCATTCTGATGCCGCCCTAACAGAAACTTCTGAGAATGTGAAAGCAGCACCGGCCGGCTCAGGGCACCCTGAGAGGCCCCTCCCGTGCTGGGGAGGGTGCTGTCTTCTGCAGGGAGCTAGGGTATGAGGACAGGGTTGGCCGGTCTTCCAGAGCCGGAGGGGCAGGGGGAGACAGGCCGGGAAGGGCAGGCCTGCCCCAGGGCACAGGCCCTGCCTGCTCCACACCATGAGAGCCGAAGCAGCGCCCCACGCCCAGGCCACTCAGCGGGAGCTGCGCCACACAGCCGGCGGGGATCACACCCGTGCCCGTCCTTCAGCCAGCGGGCTCGCCTGGGGTCGCAGCTCAAGGCCCCGCTCTTGGACTCGTCCCTACTACGCAACACCACATGGAGCCAGGAGCCCAGGGGAGACTGGTGGCGCCTGCTCGGTTTGGGGGGCGCACGGGTAGCTCTCAAACTCGTAAAGAAAACAACGCTGATGACACCCAGGACAGGAGAACACTGCATACCAGTGCGCACCCAAATCCAAGTGCAAACTCTGGCACAAAGAACTCATTCTCCAAGCCAGCGAAAGGCTGATGGGTTTAAGTTATGGTTACTAAAAAATAACTTTAATAACTAAATAAAGAGGTGCGAAGTGTGAAAACCAAGCCACTGCAGTCCCAGCCACTTGGGAGCCTGAGGCAGGAGAATCACGTGAGCTAAGGAGTCTGAGGCCAGCCTGGGTCTCAAAAACAAAATCAAACAAAAGCGAATGCAACACTGCGTGGAAAGTCTCCGTGAGGGGAAACTGTGCACCACTCCTGGGGAACTGTGCCCCGTGCTGCTGCCCCTCCCTGCACGTGGGCACGGCCAGTGCCTCTGCCCGAAGAGCCCCGCCCGCCTGGTGGCTGCTCACCTGGCTCCACCTCATGCCACCCGCTGGACTGGCTGCCACTGCCCGGGGAGCGGCCCTGGCCTGTGTAGAACGGCTCCTCGCTGGGGCTGTCCATCTCGTCCTCCACAGACTTGAGGCGCTTCGTGGAGCTGAAATGACAGTGGTGCACACTCAGGCCCCCAGGCCTCCTCCTGGCCTGGCCGGCCCGGTCTGCAGCCTAGGCGGCAGGGAGGGAGCCATGGGAGGTGGTGCGGGCCCGAATCACGGCTCAGCATCTGGTCCCTCCTGCTGCCTGGCTGCCTCCCACACCTCTTCCCCAGGGAGGCATGGTCCACACAGGCTGGAGTGTGGGTGGTCAGCCGGGTGGCCCCTGCATGGGGGGCCCAGTCAGGGAGGGTGGCAGGAGGATGGTGCAGGAGAAGAGGGCGGCATGGAGACGCTGAGCGTCTGCAGTCACCCACCACAGTACCAGGCAGCCTGGAGCCTCTCGGCAGGCAGCGAGGGGGGAGCTGGTGCAGAAGGTGCCCAGGGGCCTGTGGTGTGGACGCGAAGGACAGAGGAGAGGGGACATATGCTGGCCAGCTGGGGACAGCAAAGAGGCTGGGCAGCAGCCCGGGTGCAGGCAGGGATTCTGCACTGAGGGTGACCTGGCCTGGCCGCGTCTGAGCTGTGCAGCTCTGTTCTCAGAAACCCGGCCTTGGGAAGCTGCACTAGCTCAGCCCAGAGCAAAGGCCACCGACCGATTCGTTAATCATCTCTGTCTGGCTCTCCATGAAATTCTGCAAAAAGAGCCACTGCAAGAAGTTTTCTATATTTTAGGTAACACTGCACCTAATGTTAGTCCTTTGTTCTAAGAGGGGAAACACACAAAAATCTCCCTCCAGTACATGCAACCAGGAAAATCTAACATCTGTGAATGAATCTGTTCCCTCTCATTAGAAAACACAAACTCTGCAGCTTTCCCTTCTTGCCTGGCACCTGGGAAGCCCAGGCCCAGCGGAAAGCGTAACTCAGGCACCCGCGCAATGACCTCTCCCATCCTTCCGTGTGGTTTCGGGTTCTCTCTCCGTATCTGATGTCACTTGCCATGTTTCAAATTTGAAAGCTGCTTGAAATCATCCCGAAGTAGGAGGAATAGGAACTGAGAAAAATTCCCCAAAGTAGCCTGGCAGGAAAAGGCCTGGTGTGAATGTTCTGAGGAGGGTGTGCGGCCCTTGGGAACTTGTTATTTTTAAGCGCTAGTGCTGACCACAGCCTCTGGCCGGCATCAGTGCCCAGAGCCCGCTGGACTGGGCGGTGGCTTGGAAGCAGTGGCGTGAGTTTGGCCGACAGGGGTTTCCCCAGGCTTCACAGCTCCAGGAGGCCCTCGGGGCCCACCCACCGGCCGCCAGCTCCGTCATTAAGCCTGGATGCCTGGCATGGTCCAGGGCAGCCCGGACTCTGGGAGCCACGGTCAGGACAGAGGAGGAAGATGGGCTGAAGGAGGGAAGGAGGGAAGGAGGGAGCCCTTGGTGCTACCAATGCAGGGGAGCTTCTGAGTCGTGGTGCTGACTTCGCGCGCCTGGTACCTGGTTTACTGTGGTTCATTCCTTGGGAAGACACTTGCATCCCATCCTTTTACATGCCCTCCCTGGGATTTGGGAGGTTAATCCTGGAGCAGTCTGGACCCTACAGAAAGCACCTAGTGAGCTCCCTGTTCACTTGTGTTCTTGCTTTCAGAAGCGAATTGGTACTGGACCGTGCTGTGGCTCTTGCTTTTCTTCTCTGGAAACATCTCAGGACAGCAAGTGGCAGGAAGACCTTTCCAAAACAGGGAAATCTCCCGAGGGAGCGACACCCTGGCACTTCTGGGAATCCGTGCACGTTTCTCACACATTCTCCACGGGAGCAGGTGAGCCAGTGCTGAGCTCCTGAGGTCTGCCTGAGTCTCAGAGGGCACTGGAGCCTCAAGCCTCCTCTGGCATGGATGCTTCTCCTCCATGCCCTGGGACCTGCGAGGAGCCTTTCCTGTCCGGGGCCCATCCCTGGGTGAGAGCTCTCCAGCACTGTGGTGCCCAGGGAGCACCCACTCTGATGCCTGCTGCCGTGCCGGGAGCGTGGGGCTCCATCCTCCGAAGGGCTGGGTGCAGGTGGGGAGGACAGTAACTCAGGGTGGGTGTGCTCCAGTCCAGGAAAGGCAGGGTGCCAGGGGCTGCTTCCTGGGCTCCTGTGTTGTCCCTCCCGACTCATACCAGTCTCCTGGGAAATACCATGCAGCGGAAGTGCCACAGACTGGAGTCTTTCCTTAGGCTGTGGGCGCTCTGCAGGTCATGGGGTGGCAGAGCCCCTGTCCCAAGCCCACTGCAAAGATGGAGCCAGACCGGGCCTTGAAGCACCAACTTGGAGCCTCGCAGACACACCAGGCCTGGTGTGACCACGGCCCAGCTGCGCGGGGAAGGTCTCTGTGTGAGTCTGTTGCTCTTCTGCACACCTAGCCTGACACAACTCTGCTGAGCCCAGGAGCTGAAAGAATACTTTAAAAATCATCCCAGGAAGAGCCTAGTGAGAGCAGAATGACATCACACCCAGTGATTAACTGTGCCCAGTGTTTGGAATGAGCTCCTCGGCAGGCTGGGCATCACAGCACGCTGGGTGACACGGCTCGAGGTCATGTGATTGACCTGCTTTCCGCTCAGTCAGGATGGGAGGCTGAGACAGGAAGGGACGCCGGATGCAGCACACACAGGAAGAGCAAGCAGCCCCTGAACTGGTAGACCAGTCGCTGCCCACAGGATCTCAAAGGCCCGCGCCCTGCCCTCTTCTGTCACGATGCTCTCTGGAGTTGAGACTTTCCTCCAGGAGCTGACGACTGCCGTGAGCTGGGGGGGACATTCAGCCAGCATCAGGAGGACACAAGAGCCAGGGCTCTATTTGGGAGGAGTAGTTTCTTTAATGGCCTTCAAGGTACTTAAAGTGACTGGATAGATGTTTTCAAGTTAATGATGTTTAAAACACTGTAGACGAAGCCCAGGCAGGAGTCTGCCCCAGAAAATTTCAATAATTTGGGCTTTGTTCTAAATCACAACGCTCTAGACTTGCTTCAGGAGAAACGGACTTTGACAAATGTTCTTCTGCAAAGTACACAGATGTGAAAGATCATTTGGCCCTGCTCCTCTTTGGGGACACAGTCCAGTGCCAAAGCCAGCTTGTGAAAGAACACCGTGGCTTTCCTGCCTGACCCCTGCCTGGCACACGTAGTCTGCAGCACAGCCCCGAGGATGCTGCCTCTGGGTTGGGCTTTGCCACCTGAGCTGGGATCAGGAGCCCAGACAGCGGCCTGGCCGCTCCCCAGCCCCTTTGTAGGTCCCCAGGTCACCCAGGGACACTGTGGTCTGTGTCGCCCCCTGCTACCTGGCCAAACGCCTTTTATAACTGCACCCCAGGGTGTCAAACAGCTTCGCTTTTCGGGGAACCCCAACTTTGGGGTCTGGGTAGAGCAGGACTGGGACGGAGCCACACTGTCAGCTGTGGGCAGGGCACAGGGCTGCTGTCACCAGGGTGCACTTCCTGCCCGGGAGCCGCGGGTGTCCTCCCTTCTGGGCACACGCCTGCCCGCTGGCCCCTCGCCCATCCGGCCCAGCGGCCCTTCCTCTCCTCACCACCCCCGGGCACAGGACTCTTGGGGGACGAAGCCTCTGAAAACTGCTTTTAGTCCACCATGCACAACTTTGCTCGCTGACTTCAGCTGTCTGGGACGATGAGCTTGTGTGCACATGCGGACACTTCTCTTTGGACATTCGCTTCCTCTCCCCACGACACCAGCAGCATGTGGGGTCTGGGCCCGCTTTGCTGGCACTGCCCACAGGACAGGACCGTTGGCTGCGAGGCCTGCGCAGGTGGGGTCGGGTGTGACCCGTGGGGTGTCGCTCCGGCAGGGCCGCCGGGGATTACCTCGTGGAGGATGTGCTGGGGAGCGACCTCCTCATGGCTCCCGGGCTCATGCTGTAGTAGGAAGAGCTTTCCAAGTCTGAGAGAGAAAAATTGGGGCCGGTTCCTGCAGCTATAGGCGCTAGAATGAAAGACAAAAAGGGAGACACGTCAGTTCAGCTCTGTGAGGAGATCAGTGAGCGCTGATCTTGCTGCACCCAGCCCTCTGCTTCTCACGATTACCCAAACAGTCAGAAATAAGTGGTGCCCACGGGGACAATGGTCTGTGCCGGAAAGACAGTCCCTTCCAGCCACCTTCGTGCCCTCTCCTTGGCAACTGCACGCCATCGCCAGGCCACAGCACTCCTCAGCTGCTCCAGGCTGACACTGCTGCACAGCGACCAGCACAGCTTTCTCCAGACCTTCACCTCTGTCTGAGCTCAGCAGCCTCTCCTCGCCTGTGTCCCAGGGTCTGTTCTGGGTGTGCTGAGAGGGGATTCCTCCTCCACACGCCCCAAGGAAGCCCATGGTTCCTCCTCGCTTGGAGTGGCTGGTGCCCGCACACACCGACCCTCCTGTGTCCCACTGTCACGCACGGCCCCAGCCTGGGCTCTCCTAGATCTCTGGTGGGCCCACCCATGACAGCACCGTGACTGCCTCACACCACCTCAGTGGGGGCAGCTGCAGCAGGGACCGTGAGGCCCTCACTGGACGCTCGCCCAGCCGATCCCATGCCGGTAACATGGGCCTCTCAGAGCTGGCGTTTTGCGAGTTGTGATTCCCTGCATTTTTATGTCCCAGGCCTCTAGATGCCTTGCCTGCAACAGCTTCATAAACATTTCTTAATGAACAAACAGCACCCACTAATCTTATGAAAGGGGTCTGCAAGCGGTGGTGGCACAATGACAGTGCAGACGACTCTTCCAAGCAGGCAGTGGTGTGTTACTGTACACCACCAGACCGAAGCCTGCGGGACACCCTGAGTCCGCGGATGCACACGCCCAGACACACAAGCCCACACCCCTCAGACCAAAGGTCAGAAGCAGAGCAGGCTCAGGGATTTCCACCAGCGGCCGATCCCTGCAGCGGACATCACTAAGGTGGTGGTGGATGGTGAGGGAGGCCCTGCCCTGAAGCACGGTCCCCATCCACCCACGGCTTCGGAGGAGACGCCTGCCAGCAGCTGGAAGCCAGGCCGGATCCTCTCACGCTGATTCCACATGGCCCACGGCACAGGAGCGGGTCCACACGGTCTGCAGTGGTGGTGCCTGGGGGCACTCATGTAGCAGTGGGCTGCTGGTTATCACTGGCCCAGGGAATGCCAGGCCCCAGAACTGGATGCCGATGCCGGGAGGCCAGGGAGGTGTGCACGGCTGAGAGCGGGCTGCCGAGAGCTGCCGGGAGGGCTCCACCCTCTGCAGTGATGTCCCCGATACACAGGAAGGAGGCTGTGCTAAGGGCCGGGTAGACAGAGGGATGCGGATTCGAATCTAGCCATACCAGCATGCGCTGCACTCGACTCTTGGGGAGATGGCGGATACAGGCTGAGGCTGTGCCGCCCCTGGCTTGGCCCCGTGTGGGGCTAGCAGGTGTGGGCCGAGTGCCATTCACCAGCTCAAGGGGAAGCAGCAGGCTCGGGCGCTGCATCAGTGAGTGAGCTTCTCTCACCTCCAGATATCACCTCCATCAGGGGCAGAAGCCCGAGGGCAGGCGGGCAGGGCTGGTGAGCACAGGACCAGTAAAACCTGGAGCACGGGCAGGGTGGGAACAACGGGGCAGGAGGGGTCTGGGTGCTACCTGGGGGTCAGCATCAAGCAGATGCGACTGCTGACCAGTGCATGAAAGCAGGGGGATCGGGGAGCCACGGTGACTCGAGGGGCCCCGGGTCAGGAGAGGACCTAGGAGCGTGGCCACTTCTGGGGATAAACAAGGAGCTGCCTGAGGAATCGCACCGACTCGAGCATTAACCACAGGCTACAAGCAGTCACTGCCGATGGGGAAATGCTGAGAGTCAGCTCAGGGTTCCAGCGCCCCTCTGAATCCCAGGCTGGCCTGGGAGGAGGGCCCGAGTCGGAGCCCAACAGCCTGCACGGGCCTCATGTGTTCGTCAGGTTCGCACGGTTTCTCTTCCACTTTCTCCGTGTGACACAGGCCTGCAGTGAGTAAGTACTACATCGTGGAGGTGGCATGGTTCCCACAGGACAGGCCCCTGGCTGAAGGCACGATTCTCCTTAGCTGGAGGCAGGACGGGCTGGGCAGTGGGCAGCGTCCGCGGTCCATGGTCTCAGGGGCTGAGAAGGTGGCAGGCCCCGGCTCCTGGGGGCGAGGAGCAGGGTGGCCCGGGGTCCCATTGCCATGCGGTGCATCCAGGAAGAGCCTTCCCTTGAGTGCCTTCATCAGGAGTGAGGGATCCCCGTGGAGATGGTGCCTGCGCCTCCCCCAAGCCCAGCCTGCCTCCGCATCTGCCCATGTGGCCAGTGTGGCTGCAGTGGTGCCACACAGCCACTGCCAGCGCCCAGGGCACCCCAGGCTCGCCCGGTGCAGCCGGCAGGCGGGCTGGAGTGGCTGTGGGTTCTAGATCAGCCCCAGTTTCTGCGGTAAGAACGAACCTTGGTCTTATAGCCTGGATTCAAGAACCTGGCAGGGCACAGCCTGGAGCTGGCTGCCCCACGCACTCCTGCGGGCAACCTCAGGTCTGCCGTCTGGGCCCATGCAGGGTCAGCTGCTGGAGGGAACCTGCCAGGGCCAGGAAAGGCCTGTGTCTGAGGAGGGGCCTGTGGGTGTCCTGCAGTGAGGCGGGAGGGCCGGCCCGGCCTGGGAAGCTCCGTTTTGATAGGCCCTGTGGCTGGCAGCCTAAAGGAGCCCTCAGAACGCCCTTCTCAGGGAAGCACCTTCTCCAGGTGAGGAAAACAGCCTGAGACTGACCAGCTTGTTCTCGGTCACGGAGAGGCAGAAAAGGGTTAGGAGCTCCAATTCCAAGCATGTCTGTGCTTTCACCACCGCAGCACACAGACTACACAGAACTCGACTTGAACTTGAGATGATGAAAAGCATGTAGGGTCTCTCTCCCCCAAAAGGGACAGTGGCCTAACACCTGAACACCCGAGGCAGAGGGTACGCTCTCTGTGTCACAGGAGAAGCGCAGACATGCAGAAGGTTCGGGGTCAGAAACCCAGCCCCGGACACCAGCAGGAGGCACAGGGAAGGCAGGCATTGGCGGATGACACTCCGGGCATCAGCTGGAGGCGCAGGCAGAGGGAATGTGGGCTTGCCCCTGAGGGACCTGCCAAGAGAGAGGACGGACTCCAGACACGGGGCTCTGACCCGGGAGGGCCGGCAGCTGACTGCGTGTTCCCAGCTCTGCACAGTGCCGGGCCCAGATGAGCAGGTGGGCACACTCCCCTAACTAACAAAGCTGCCGCCACACAAACGGAACAGGCGCTGGGTGAGACAGCAGCTTCCCAGTCCTCCTCGCAAACGAGGGAGCAAGCTGCTGTGGCCCAGGGCTGAGGCCTCTCTGAGGCCACCTTGCCCTGGTGACGGACACCAGGCCTTCTGGTGTCCCCAAGGGTGCCTCTCCCCGCCCAGCGCGGGTGCTGCGGAGCACAGGCCTGGCCAAGGCCCTTTCTTTCTGCTCCCTGCCCCGTGATGTGCAGCCCGCTTGGTGTGCAGCTGGCCCTGGGCTCACTTGTGACATTCCCCCAACCTCAGTGAGCGGCTAGGAGAGGCACCTAGCATGCCAGCCAGTGTGATGCCGTCACCCGCAGAGTCACTGAGGCTCTTTGGCCTCATGATTCTCATGAGGACAAAGGCAGCATGGAAAGCCACCATTGCCGCCGCTCTAGGCCTTGAGAGAGAGGAAGGACAGCTCCAAGTGCGACGACTCGTTTAATCCTCAGGACACGGGGTGGGGGTGGGGGGGGGCAGCCGCATCTCCTCATGCCGTGCGAGCTCTCCCCGCTGTGTGCAGGCTCCTCTGCAGCTCCTGAACAGCCCTCGGCACTCTGTGTCCACAGCTGAGGTCTGTACCCAGACTGAGTCTCGGAGAGCACAGGGCTCTCCTCAGCCCTGAACTCCAAACCATGCAAACGAAGCTGGAACCCTGTAAATGCACGAGAGCAGTGGCTGAGCTCTGCCTCTCAGCACCAGAATGGCCACTCCGGCCGAGTGTCCAGCCCCACCAAGGAGCTGGCTCAGGCTGACTTCTGGAAACCCTGTCTTCAGGTGTTATTTGCAAGTCACCCCTTCCTGTCGCCCGTAGGACATACTCTCCGTGTCAGTCCTTGATAGGCGGCTGGCGCGCTGTTAAGGAATCAGTATAGCAACGTGGACCAGTGGAAGAAGGGTGCTTAGGAGCCAGGTCTTAATGAGTCGCTCTCCCGTGCACATGAGTAGTTGGAGAAGGCTGTGGTGATTGAACTGCCGCCATCCACCAGAGACAATCTGCTCAGCTCGCACTGTTGGGAAGAGAGGATGATGGGAAACAAATTCCATCCAAATTTCTGAGCTCCTCTCCTTGGGAGACGACAGTGCTGAGTGCACACTCGTTCGACAGGAGCCACAGGGTGAGCTGACTAGCTGGCCAGGGTGTGCAGCCGGCTGTGAATGCACACCGCCTCTGAGAGGCTCCTTCACCGGGATCGACTCCTGTCCGGGGAGCACTTCCGCCTCGAGGGGCTCATTCCAGAGGAAGTGTCAGGGAAGCAGGTGGCTGGCGCACTTGTGTGGGGCCTCCACTCCGGAGCTCAGCCATGGGCCCCTCTCAGTCCACGCGGGCACTGGAGAAGAGGGGGTGACAGCCACAGATTCCCCCAAGACGACCAGTGCTCAGCACTCCACTGCTCCTTAGAAATCAACCCCGAAAACCCTGGGGTGTGTTTTTCCTCCGACTGCAGGATTCCAGGTCCTTGTGGAGGCTTCGGAGCAGGCACTTGGCGGTGGTAGTGGGGGGTGGGGCGAGCACAGCCTGCAGCTCCTGGGCCGAACAATTCAGTGTTGTTTTGCATTCTGGAGGCAGAGATCTTGTAAGAAAGTCCGTGTCACTGGCACAAAAGGAACGAACATGGGAAAATACTTGTTCTTCTTCTATCAAAGGCACAGTTGTAAAATGCACAATGCTATGAAAACTCAAGCAAATCTGGA